TGAATCCGACATTGTAGCATGGTATAGACGGAACACGTTTGCAGTTTGAAGAACACCTGCTTGCTTCTGATGATTTCCTTTAGCTAACCAATGAGTGTTTGCGTTCTATGACTCATCCAGTTACACTAGTTTTCACTAGATGTGGATGGCGCCAATGATCTGCATTGGATGGAGCACATGACGTGAAATAAATATTCATAAACATTAAACCGAAGCCAAGAGTAACAAGTAATGTTTATTTTAAAATTGTAAGGAATAGAAAGTACAGATACTTGTGTGAAAATGTAATGAGTAGAAGTCAGAAGTAGGAAGAAAATAAGTAGTTGAGTAAAGTATAGATACTTAACAAGTGTACTTAAGTACAGTAACAAAGTATTTGCACTTTGTTACTTGACACCTGTATTTAGATACTGCAGATCTGTTGTTTGGCCCAATTCTGTTAATCTATTTGTAATAAAGCTGTTGACAGTCAGGTTTTAACTGAAGCTTTATCTTTGGTTCAGTTATTGTTGGCCAACTATTTACATGTAAGACTAGTTACTTCATAGAAATGTTTTAGCTTTTACCAAAACACAAAACTCTGTATTATATTCTCTCAAACTAATAAAAGTTTTTTTTCTAGCGATCAAGGAGTCAGTTTTAAGGCTTATTATTCCTCTTATATTTGGCAAATTTATGTTTGAATATTTTGCAAAAATATGTTGCGGTGCATGATTGGGTTTTCATCAAAGTTTCCTGTGTTACGTGCATTGTTGCCAGGTTGGGATGTTTCTCAATCTGACAGTTTATGATGGTCATCTATGGTTAAAAAATGTTTTTCTGTAGAATTATCGCCTAAGAGATCAATAGACTTTGGTTCAAATTGGGCGAGATTTCGTACGTCCAGGCGGTTTATGAACATTTTTGGGCTGGAAAACGTGAGTCATTGACATCTGGCAACCCTGCTGATGTGGTGAGTGTGGACGTTACGCAGCAGCAGTCACTGTTGTGTCCATGTTAATAACCAAAGCCAGTAAAGCCGCATTATAGAAGTCCTGGTGATGGTTGTATTGTGATGCTTGAAGATAGATCTGTTAATCCACAATCTGTATTTGTTTTTGTGTTTCACATTTCAGACGCACACATTTGACTGTGCTTCTATTTTTATTTTTTTTTCGGGGTGGGGGTGTCCATAAGTGGGCTGGTGTAGATTGAAAAATGCAGGGCTGAAAATCGTTCCCAGTCCGAGCCTGTCTGCAGCTAATAGTTTTGGGCTGATTCTTGGAGCCGATATGGTTCCTTCCTTTACATGATAAAAAGTTTTAATTCCAAACATAAAGAAACATCTATTCAAAATCAAACAAAACTAGGGATGCACGATATTGGGATTTTGGCCAATATCCGGTATGCCGATATTTTAAAACTCATGTAGCCGATAAC